AGTTAGTTATAAATTTAGGCCAAAATGTATTCTGCTACGTTTTTGGTAAAAAAAATCCCAATAAGTGTATATTGATTGCTTTGTGTGAAAGTTATAGCGTCTACAAACTATGGTATAGATACTGCAATTTACGCCATTTTTTTGCTATACAGCGCTGCGCTAGTTTAACGGACAATTGTGCGGTCCATGCAATACGGTACATAAATGAAATTTATGTCCCTTTTTTAACACAAATAGAGCATTCTTTTGGTGGTATTTGATCACCTGTGCACTTTTTATTTTTGGCGCTATAACCAGAAAAAAAAAAAACTTTTTTTTTAAAAAAAAAAAATATTTTTCTCATTTTGGTCATAAAAAATATCTAAAAAAACCCCTAAAATTTCGTCATAAATTTAGGCCAAAATGTATTCTGCTACATGTTTTTGGTTAAAAAAATACCAATAAGTGTATATTGATTGCTTTTTGTGAAAGTTATAGTGTCTACAAACTATGGTATAGATAATGGAATTTACATAGCTTTTACTTTCTGGCTGCCCATCACATTTCTTGAGGTGCTAAAATACCAGAATAGTACAAACACCCTCAAATTACCCCTTTTCGGAAATTAGACACCCTAAGCTATCTGCTGAGAGGCATATTGAGTCCATGGAAGATTTATTTTTTTTCCACAAGTTTCTGGAAAATGACAAAAAACTTTTTTTTTTTTTTTTTACACAAAGTTGTCATTTAAATGATTTATTTCTCGCACAAGCCATGGGTATATGTGGAATTACACCCCAAAATACATTCTGCTACTTCTACTGAGTATGGGGATACCACATGTGTGAGACTTTTTGGGAGCCTAGCCACATACAGGAGCCTGAAATCCAATGACCACTTTGAAAGCCTGAAGGTGCGTAACTTCCTCATTACACTTCCTCACTACCTATCACAGTTTTCGAAGGCCCTGACATGCCAGGATAGCCCCAAACCCCCCCAAATGACCCCTTTCTGGAAAGTAGACACCCCAAGGAATTTAAAAAGAGGCATGGTGAGTATTTTGCAGATCTCATTTTTTCTCACAAGGTTTTGAAATATAAAAAAAATTGTTTATTTTTTTTCATTTTCCAAAAACTTGTGGAGCAAATGAGATCTGCAAAAGCATACTTACCGTTTTTTTAAAAATACCTTTTTTTACTTTTAATAGTAAGAAACACAATATATCCTGGCATTTCAGGGCCTAAAACTGTGATAGGTAGTCTGGAAGTGTAATGAAAAAATAAAGCCGAGTAAGATGAAGGTACTTATTGGATTTTGGGGTCCATGTACTTGCTAGACTGCAAAAACTCTCTCGCATGTGGCCCCGTTCAATGGCGACAAGTAGCAAACATGTATAATTTGGGGAGTAATTCCACATAAACCATGGCATTGTTAGCAGTAAATCAGAGGACAATTCTAGTGTTAAAAAAAACTGCCCTTATTTTTGTCGTTCACGGCAAAAACATTGTGGTGCAAAAAAAATAAATTCTTCAAGGCTTGATTCACACAGGTTCCTCTCAGGAAATAGTTTGTTGACTACTTTCCAAAAAGGGATTTCATTTTTATTGTTTTTTATGCCCACCTTTAGATTTTTTTTATGCACAAATCATATAACTCTTCAAATAACCCCTGAAACTTCAATGGGCTTTTTGTTCATATATTCTTTTTTGAGAAATCTGGGGTCTATCATTCTAGGGCGGGCTCCACGTGACTATCTTTTCCCTCGTAAATCCGAAACTTTAAGTATAAAGCTTGTTGTCCTCTCACAGACACCCTAGTGAATAAAATGGTGGGTTTGACCCCAATATTTTTATGGCAGGGCAGAAATTGTTTACCATATCTGGTACGCTGGCGGCCAGAAAAATTAATAAGGGACTCCTCAACGCAGATGTTTTGCTGGGGAGTATAGACATCTGCAAATTTTTAAGGTGATTTTCGAGGGGCTGAATTTTGTGGAGCCGGTCAAATTCAGGGTTACCCCAAGGATGACAGAGTGTATTGTCGCTGAAATGCATAAAAACACATTATACTCTCATATTTATGCCTGGCCATGGCAGCAGAGAACACAGGCATATGATGAATCGGGTCTGCGGACCAATACAACCGCAATTCATTTCTTTTAGTAATGCCCATGTTGAGGGTTAGGCCCAAAAAAAATGTAAATTTGAAAACCGTAATGAGTTTCCATGCGAATGGTCTGGCAAGGTTTGAATTTGGGTTGGCGGCAATAAATTGTTGTGCATATAAACTGCTTTGATCCACAATCAACGCATACAGATATTCCGTGAAAAACAGCTCCAAAAATCAAGGAGGTATGTGAAAGACCAAGATGTACTAGACCGCTGGTACTCGCCAGTTCACCAAAAGGTAGCGCTGCACTAGTACTGGCACTCTGCTGCATATGAGAGTCATCAAAATTTACCGGCAAGTGCTAACAGAGATCAGGCCTGATTCAGCGAACACTGCGGTTTTGTGTGCAATGTATCAAGTGACAGTGACCTACTGACACTGCACTTGCTGGGGGAGAGGGGGGGGGGGGGGTAAGCGTAGGGGCTAAACGCAGGTGTTGGCAGGTGCCGGGGCTGATCCCGCTAACGCTGCGTTTTTGGGGACGCTATACTAATGTGAACGCTGGTATAGTGCTGACCTGATCAAAGATATTGACCCTTCAGACACTATACTAGCAATGGAGGTTTATTGTACATGAGCGTACTCCTGGCAATCAAGGGGTTAAATGTGATGACTGGTGTACTGACGGGCAATCTGACGCTATCTGGGAGGGGTGTGAAAACCACGGGAGCGCAAATCATATATATATATATATATATATGTGATTTTGCGTACCCATGCCGCCCTGTAGCAGTATTTCTGCTGTAGGGTGGTCAGGAAGCGGTTACAGAAGAGGTTTGTGTTACGCGCTGCGTTATTTTAACTGCCAATTGCGCGGTCATGCAACACTGCACCCAAATTAAATTTACATCCTTTTTTTCCCCACAAATTGAGCTTTCTTTCGGTGGTATTTGATCGCCTGTGCGGTTTTAATTTTTTGCGCTATAAAAAAAAAGGCTGACAATTTTGAGAAAAAAAAAAAAACAATATTTTGGACTTTTTGCTATAAAACATGTCCAGTAAAAAAAAATTAAAAAATCAAATTTTGTCACAAATTTCATCCAAAATGCATTCTGAGACATGTCTGCTAAAAAAAAATCCCAATATGTGTAAATTAATTGGTTTACATGAAAGTTATAGCGTTTTCCAGATGGCGGGAAAGATACTGGGATTTTTAATTTTTTTTTATACTAATAATGGCGGCGATCAGCAACTTATGGCGGCGATCAGCGACTTATGGCAGGACTGCGGCGGACATTTTGACACTGGGGGGGAACTGACTTGGGGTCACTGACATCTCCAGTGACACCAATACAGTGATCAGTGAAAAAAAAACCCACTGACACTGTACTAATGGCACTGGGGAGGAAGGGGTTAACATTTTTAGTGTTAACTGTGTGAGGGGAGTGTTTTACTAGGGGGCGGGGGGGTGTGTGCTGGACGGGGGCAGGCTGATCTAGAGAGAGAAACTCTTCTCTCCCTCTTCAGCTTGTCACGAGCTGTCAGGGAACTGACACAGAGCAGGGCTGTGTATAAACAATGCAGTCCTGCTGTCAGCGATCACCGCGAATCGCGGGGAAACAGCCGGTAATGACCGGCCGTGACCCGGCGGCAGAGACCCGCTGCTGACACCCGCGGGACAGGTAGGGCGAGCGCGCGCCTCGCGTGCACCCCCTACATGTTTTGCAAAACCACTTTTTAAAACGTGATTTTGCCTGCCCGTGCCACCCTGCAAACGTACATATGCAGTGACTGGGGCTGAACATGTTAATATTCTTGTAAAGTGTACACAGTCAGTTCCTATCGATACCATCACGTTGCTTCATTTTCAAAAAAAATGTGGCAAAAAATGAAATCAGCTTAGGGTGTCTAGATCTACGAGAGGGGCGGAGAGTCGGCTGTTCCAACAAGGACAAGCTGGGAACACCAAATGACTAAGACACAAGATGGAGACTAAAACCTACAGGATGGGCTGTACTTGTAGTGTTAGAGAAAGGAATAAAGGAGAACATTTCATCACACAAATCTGAAGGAATCAACTTTATGAAAACTTTTCCATTTAAAAAACAAACCTACACACAATTCACATTAACCAAAGGAAGACTTTTATCCATCAATTTATAACGAACATCATGAGTTTAAGCATGGAAATATATCATCCTCGTTTGTTTCATATCAGGCTTGTCATGTAGTCTGATCTCCCCTTCTCTTTGTCCACAAGCAATATCTAGTTCCTCTCTCACCATGATGTCCTCCATGGAAGCTTCTGCTGAAGGTCAGGGGAGATCAGACTACACTGCTAGAGGGACCCAACCAGCAGTGACACCCCCCCCACTTCTCTCTCACCATGATGTCCTCCATGGAAGCTTCTGCTGAAGGTCAGGGGAGATCAGACTACGCTGCTAGAGGGACCCAACCAGCAGTGACCCCCCCCCTCCTTCTCTCTCCTAGCAGAGGAAGCCAGACACAACAACGTTGAAGTCTTTAGTGATCTCTGATCTCCTTATAAAGTGTTTCTTCCATGATAAAGATCAGAGGAGCGCTCAGCCACGTGTTTTCTGAGGTGTGTACCAAGGTGTGCTTCTTCCCAGTGTGAGATCTCTGATGTACGGCAACATATCATCCATATAGAAGACATTTCCCGCACTCAGGACACTAATACACCTCGAGGGTGGTGTGGGTTCTCTGATGTCTGGTAAGACTTCTGTGAATAACATTTCCCCCACTCAGTTTAGGAGTGAGGCTTCTTCCTTGTGTGAGATCTTTGATGTTTAACAAACTCTGATTTCCGTAGATAACATTTCCCGCACTCAGAGCAGGAAAACAGCTGTTTTTGCATACGGCATTTAACACGATGTCTAGTAACATCGGACCTCCATGAAAAACTTTTTCCACACTCAGGACAGCAGTATGGCTTCTCGCCTGTGTGAGACCTCTGATGTATGTTAAGGCTGCCCTTTTGTGAGAAACATTTCCCACACTCAGAACAGGAATACGGCTTCTCCCCTGTGTGAGATCTCTGATGTATAAGAAGCTCTGACTTGTGTGTAAAACATTTCCCGCACTCAGAGCAGGAATATGGCTTCTCTGTGTGAGATTTTTGATGTCTATCAAGTTCTGTTTTCTGTCTATAACATTTTCCGCACTCAGGGCAGGCATACGGCCTCTCTCCTGTGTGTATTCTCTGATGATTACAAAGTGCAAGCTTACTTGAAACACATTTCCCACACTCAAGGCAGGAAAACAGCTTCTTCCCCTTGTGAGACCTTTGATGTATAACAAGGGCTGATTTCCTTATGAAACATTTTCCACAATCAGAACAGGAATACGGCTTCTCCCCCGTGTGATGTCTTTGATGTACAACAAGGGCTGATTTGCTTATGAAACATTTTCCACACTCAGAACAGGAATACGGCTTCTCCCCCGTGTGATGTCTTTGATGTAGAACAAGTCCTAATTTGCTTAAATAACATTTCCCGCACTCAGGGCAGGCGTAAGGCTCCTCACCATTATGAAATCTTTGATGTACGGCAAGTTGACATTTCTGAGCAAAACGTTTCCCGCACTCAGGGCAGGAATACGGTTTTTTCACCAGTATGAGATCTGTGATGTGTGACCAGTTGTGCTTTATATAGAAAACATTTACCGCACTCAGAACAGGAATGAAGTACCCCTTCCCTGTGAGATCCCCTATGTAGAAAAAGACCCAAACCAGAGCAAAAGCTTTTCCCACATTCAGGACAGGGAAATGTCTTCTCCCCCTGAATCCCGGCCCCATCCCCCACAGTACGAGGTTCTTCAGAGTCGGAGGGTTTCTCCATGGCGGGTCCTGGAAAAATAGAAAAACATCATCAATAGATAGGAGAGGGTTAGTTCACTTCCATCAAGGCTCCATCTGGATCAGGGAGATAGGAGGGAACAGATGTTCTCTGTGGATGTCCCAACCAGCTGGGACTCCTCCCCTCTTCAGTCAAAGGGTCTTTGGTCCTCCCAGATCACTTCTACATTTACACCACCTTGTTAGAGAAGCAGGAACCAATGGGGGATGGCATGCTCTTTACACAAGCACAAACCTAGGCACTGGGTCAGGTGACCTCTGATAGACAAGGTCTAAGTTCAGACTTGCAGACCCTCACCTGTGCTGATCTCTGTAGGAGTGTTCTCCTCTATGAATGTCCTCCTCATTCCAGCCTCCTCCGTATATTGCTGATAATCCCTCACATACGTCTCTTCTACTTCACCCTCAACTTTCATGTTCATCAGATCTTCACCCTAAACCAACAGAACGGTAGGAACAAAAAAAAAAGGTTTTCATTAGAGATTTGTTTCATTTTGTTTCAGATTAGTTTGTTGAGTTAATCATTTCGATTTGATATATTTGTTATGTTAGAATGATTTATTTTCTGAATTTATTTCATATATTCCTTCTTTTCAAATTGATTCGAAATTTGAATTTCGGAAGATGGCTATATCCCCTCTCCTCTCTTCTCTTCTCCTCTCTTTCTTTCTATTCTATTCTGACCCCTGAGACTGAAAGAGAACTCAAAGTGATCCCTGAGACTGGAAGAGAACTCAAAGTGACCCCTGAGACCTGGAAGAGAACTCAAAGTGACCCCTGAGACCTGGAAGAGAACTCAAAGTGACCCCTGAGACCTGGAAGAGAGCTCAAAGTGACCCCTGAGACCTGGAAGAGAGCTCAAAGTGACCCATGAGACTGGAAGAGTACTCAAAGTGACCCCTGAGACTGGAAGAGAACTCAAAGTGACCCCTGGGACTGAAAGAGAGCTCAAAGTGACCCCTGAGACTGGAAGAGAACTCAAAGTGACCCCTGAGACCTGGAAGAAGAGAACTCAAAGTGACCTCTGAGACTGGAAGAGAACTCAAAGTGACCCCTGAGCCTGGAAAAGAATTCAAAGTGTAGAGGAAGATGAAAGAAAGAGCGCACAAACCTTGTGCATTACCTCAATAAATAGTGACTAATTTTATTAATAGGAAATATACTCACAAAGTGATGGTATAACAGGCATAAGTAACCATAATCCAAACAGGGTTACAGGTAAATCGAAAAGGGGGGGGGGGGATGAAGGCTACTGCGTTTCGAAGGGTGCTCCCTTCTTCATCAGAGCTGATAAAAAAAAAACAAATGCATATACAAATACAAATTCCCCCTCAAATTATTTACATGAATCATGATGGTATAACAGGTAGTGATACTGTTAGATGAGCATGAAAATACTCATGGTAATACGTATAGTAGTAATAATAATAATGTCACTCTCATACAGAAAAGGTGTATATATAGAAAACATGTACAAAAAAAAAAAAAAAAAAAAGGAAAAATATTTTTTTTTTTTTATATATAGAGAGAATCCATAGAATAAACATGTATACATATATATGTAAATGCAAAAAGCACAATTGCTATTTAAATTTAAAAACAGGATGTGTTCATTTTATTATGTGTAGTATAAAATAGTGTATGTTATTAGAAAAGATACATTTTTTAAAATGTCGAGGTATTGAATATCATCTTTCGTCATTTATGGACTATTGTGCCCGTGTGGCTTACTCTATGTGGGACGTACATCTCGCCCACTAAGAGTGCGTTTTAGTGAACACAAGAGTAGCATTAAGAATGGTAAAGACAAATATTCAATACCTCGACATTTTAAAAAAGTCCATCAAGGTAATTTCAGTGGGATCAATGTCTTAAAATATAATAAATATAATATAATGTCTCAAAAATAATTTGCATTAAGGGATTGGTTAATAATTTTTAATAATTCTTATTAACAAATTTTTAAAATATATACACATACATCCATGTCTGCTCTAAGTACGTGCTGTCTCTTGATCTGTGCAAAGTTATCCTCCCCCATTTCCTTTGCATACAAACCTTTTGTTCCCTTTTTTTTTTTTTTATATATATATATATTTATTCTCACATTTATCTTCTTATACTATACAATGGGTGGTTTATCTTGTGTGTTTTAAAGATACAGGTATTTTCCCTTTAGTGTTTATTATATATATTTTTCATCATATATTATAAATTATCCTATTATTGCTCTTGAGAATATGCCGATCGTTAGGAATGTGCGGGTAGCAATTCCCTAAAAACTATTCAAAAAGTATTTATCTACACCGTAATTAGAAATGATTCCCTGATCTTCACTGATTTGAATTTATCCCTTATCATCAATTGACACTAAGCAGAAGATAGCAACTCACTCTGCCTTTTAATAATTTAGCCTGCAATTGATAAAGCTGTCACTAGATGGCGCTGTTCCTATACCTAAGGCGGATTTGGGAACTGTCTGCACCTTCCGCCTTTCAAGTATTTATTTATGTACTGTTTATGGTCCTTTATTAACTAAATATAAATCTCCTAAGGTCCAGTGGGTTCTTGGTCATTTTTCAGCCCTTTGATCTCTCTTTGCTGTACGGGATGTTGTGTCAGAGACTTCCTGCTTCACGATCCTCTTTAATATGGCCCCTGGAACGCACAGCACATGCGCAGTAGTGCTTATCAGCCAGCGTGCGTTCCACTGCCACCTGCAGGCGGTTTACAGTATTTAAGCCATTGCTTTCATCGCCAGCCACACAAAACAGGCTGAACTGCTGTAATACTGACACTCAGTGGCTGAATATCTCCTTGCCATGGGAACTCTGCCACACTGAAGTCTCTATCTGCTCAACCCAGGTATCTTTTCTAATAACATACACTATTTTATACTACACATAATAAAATGAACGCATCCTGTTTTTTACATTTTAAATAACAATTGTGCTTTTGCATTTACATATATATGTATACATGTTTATTCTATGGATTCTCTCTCTATATAAAAAAATATTTTTCTTTTTTTTTTTTTTTTTTTGGACGTTTTCTATATATACACCTTTTCTGTATGAGATTGACATTATTATTATTATTACTATATGTATTACCATGAGTATTTTCATGTGTATTGCTATGCTCATCTAACAGTATCACCACCTGTTATACCATCATGATTCATGTAAATAGTTTGAGGGGAATTTGTATATGCATTTGTTTTTTTTTATCGCTCTGATGAAGAAGGGAGCACCCTTCGAAACGCGTTAGCTTCAGAATCCCCCCCTCCCCCCCCCCTTTTCGATTTACCTGTAACCCTGTTTGGATTATGGTTGCTTATGCCTGTTATACCATCACTTTGTGAGTATATTTCCTATTAATAAAATTAGTCACTATCTATTGAGGTAATGCACAAGGTTTGTGCGCTCTTTCTTTCATCTTCTTCTACAGTTTTATTAAGCTTCCCCAGCTTTATGATAGAGCTGCACAACCTCTGATCACCAGCGGATGAACACACAACACACTGCTTGTCACTAACACCTGTTTGATCTGAGTCTTTGAGCGCAGGAGATAATGGATCTTTAGAGAATTCAAAGTGACCCGAGACTGGAAGAGTACTCAAAGTGACCCCCGAGACTGGAAGTGAACTCAAAGTGACCCCTGAGATTGGAAGAGAACTCAAAGTGACCCATAAGACTGGAAGAGAACGCAAAGTGACCCCTGCGACCTGGAAGAGATCTCAAAGTAACCTCTGTGACTGAAAGAGAACTCAAAGTGACCCCTGAGACTAAAAGAGAACTCAAAGTGACCCCTGAGACTGGAAGAGAATTCAAAGTGGCACGAGACTGGAAGAGAACTCAAAGTGACCGCTGAGATTGGATGAGAACTCAAGGGCACCCTAAAGTCAGGCTAACTGAAAAAGGGGGGTAGCATGTACAAGAAGTACCCCTAAAAAAAGGTAGGCAGAGATGAAAGGGGTAACCTTAAACTGGTGTGAAGGAACAGCAGAAGAACAAGAGGATGGACAAACCATCCACTGAACACCTGTAGCTGATTCTGAGGGGGTGACATATGAAGATTCTAAGAATATTCTGACCCCTCCCGGTCCAGTGCAGCATTCATAGTCATGAAGCGAGGGACAGGGACCTAGACTACACTGCTAAGAACATTGGCCTGATTAGGGGTATAACGGAAGAAAGGATATGAAGACTCTTTCTCAAGAGACTGTGGATCAGCCACAGAAGGAGGTCCTTTCTCCAGGTGATCAGGTCCCAAGAATGCCTCCAGACATACTCAGCTCTCAACAAGGGGTTCCTTCAGCAGGAACACAGAGACCAAACTACACCTGTCAGAGTGAGATTTCCCAAACTGTTCCAAAGGTGAAGGTCTTGCAACACCCAGGTGACGTCCAATGGAGTCCAAACCAACTAAAAATGAGACCGTCTGACAAAAAAAAAAGACCACCTGTTCTGAAGAACTAGATTGAAACCTGAGTAAAGGAACACCCCATCAAGTGTTGTCCAAAACTCTTGTAGGGTGCAGTATTGCCATCTGTGTCTTTCCATAGATAAAAAAAAAGAAAAACATCTGTAAAAC